TTTTCACTCATATGGGACCTGTAGTATCAGCAAATCCGAGAATGCAAGTGTCAACAACCACAGAACACTAACGAAACGCGCGACCAAGTATGCGGCCTCCGCTGTTCATCCGTTTATAAGCATCGGCCCATCTCAGTAATGACGCAGGATTCCATAACTGAACACCTAACCCCAAATACACTCACGAGTACAAATCATGAGTTTCACAACTCTAACCAAAAAAACATAAATACACCCTCTCACCCAACCACAACATTTACTTTAAAACTGGCCACCTTATCCACCACTGAAATAAACATTTTAACCTGGGACTACAGGAAAAACATGTACGATGCCAAAATCAAACACCACACACGCAACTTCTAGCTCCTGAACTATCAGTAGACAATAACACAAGAGGCATCAATAAGACATACTCACACTGACGATAGAATTCTAGCATAACTCATGACAGATTCCCTCTAACTTCTACTTCATCATTCTGATGGACCTCTCGTCAAATTATCAATGGGAATTTGGAACGACGATCGCTTAGTGAATAAAATAAGCATTCATCTTTTACAAGCTGTTATTTGGCTACACAGTTCCGCGCTTATTGAGGAGGAATTCGTATAACACTACTTAAAAGGCACAGATTCGTTGTGCTCAGCACATTGTGTAAACAGCCTCTAAAACGAAATCCAACTAAATGATAGTGATGTAGACTGCCTCTTGAACCCCAGTGGACTCAATACAATTAACACATTATCATTCACTTTTTACAAGTTAGAGGGTAGAAGCACAAGGAGGACTCATACAACCACCGGGGGTGAGTATCTACAGTGGGTTACCTGAAGATGGAACGCTGTTACAATGCCACACGAAAATTCGACTGAATAGTCTTCAACGGATAGATCAAATGCAGAAATCCACCACTCTAATCAAATTTACGCTGGCTAAGTATATCTATTCGCCTAACTGCGAACTTAATACCCCTCTAAAGACCTGGTATTTGTTAGGGAGTAGAACACCAGATGTCAGTCTGTCTCATTCAAGAAAGACAAAATAACACATGGTGAGCAGAAATGCTTATTTGGTTATTTCATGGCTTCTAAAATTGCAGGGTAGTAGAACAACAGATGTCAGCTGTCTCAGTAGTACACCCCTTAAGGTTTTGTTTGTTTAGTTTGTTATTTTGGTGTTTGTTCATATTAGTCATGTATGTTAAACTGTAAGTGCAACTAATCTATTGTAATTTTCTGAATGAACAGTGAAAGAGAGCGAGACTGCAGCTTGTCAGAGATTACAAGCCTCACAAAGATGTCCAGCATCTCAGAATTCTGCTTTATGGACCACCAGGTGCTGGAAAGTCCAGCTTCATCAACTCTGTGGACAGTGCTTTAAGAGGCAAAATTGCAACTCGAGCTTCGGCAGCAGCAAACTCTGGCGATAGTTTCACCATTGCAGTATGTATCTATTCTTATCACAATTGCTATTAGATGCATGCATGAAAATACATTCATTTCCTTTGAGGTTTTCAAGGACTACAGGGATGCACTGCAGTGGTAACTCCTCTGTAGACGTTGAACTATAAGTAGTATTCAGAAAACTGTTCTCTGAGACTTTAGTATATGGCACTGTAACACCTACACATTTTGCTATTTACAGTGCAGAACATATAAAATTCAGAGAGAAGACAAGAACTTTTACTCTTTTGTCTTCAATGACACCATGGGGCTTGAGAGGGGCGCTGAGAGAGGAATTCATGTAGAAGACATCAAACTTGCCATTAGTGGACATGTCAAAGAAGGTTACACGGTATGATGTTTTTCATCCAGATGCTTGTACACAGTCTGTGATACAGAAACTGTATCATGCAAAAAGGTTTAGTGAGTTTGATTTTTGTTTTTCCCCAGTTCAATCCCACATCCCTTGCTGAAAGATCCTAACTACAACCTCCTACTTTAGATGACAAAGCCCACATTCTGGTTTTAGTCATTCGTGCTGACTCAGTGAGCATAATCGATGATAAAACTGTGATGAAGATGAAAGATGTCAGAGCAGCAGCTCGTGACAAAGGTGAGAGCAGATGTTGTTCTACATGTATGATATCACAATTTGAAATACTAGAAAAACATGAGATAAAATGATTGCATTGCTTTCTGTATTGGCAGGCATCCCACAAATAGCTCTCATCACTAAAATTGATGAAGCCTGTCCTGAAGTCAAAAAAGACATAAAGAACGCCTACAGGAGCAAACACTTGAATCAGCTGGTATGTTCAAAGAAGTACCTTTCATGTATTTGTAGACAGTTTACACATGAGTGTAACATCTTTAATTCAGCTGTACATTTCAGTATATTTGTACAGAAACCTCAGCAGGAATCAGTACAAATTATTCAATACGTAATTTATAATTATGTCACTAATACAACAATACAGTTTCAGTTTTTTTAAATGTAATATTGTTTAAACTTAGATGGAAACAGCAAGCATGAACCTGGGTATTCCACTGAACTGCATCTTCCTCGTAAAGAACTACCACAAAGAAACTGATACGAATAACGATGTGGATTCACTGATACTGAGTGTCCTGAAAAAGATCATTGACTATGGAGAGGACTACCTGAATGACCAGAATGATCCTGACCTATAATCAGTGTGTGAGGGAGATAGAAAATGAAAATGTTCAGTTACTATTCAGGTGATTTTGCTTTGCCATCGTTACAATCACAGTCACAAAAAAGTCAATTTCATCAGAAACTTCATCCTACTGATTTTTGTCTTGTTCTTATTTCCCTTGTCTTTTTTCTTTTGCAAATTAAATCCAAATAACTTTCACAGAAATCAATACTTGTATATATGTATGTAATGTACTTTTTGCTATTTACTGATTATTCAAAATTTTAACAGTAGGAAAATTGACACATATGCCTGTAACCTGTTGTCTTGTGTGTAGTTCAAATACATTATTTCAACACTCAATGTGAAACTGTCCTCTGTGTCCTCTCAGTGATTTCTGGTTTCCAGAACTGTAATTAAATCTGTTCACTTAAAATAATGAAGACGGACCAGAAAGTGTGTTTATTCCTGAGCTGTATTTTAAATACTGAAATAACATCAAGAGTGTTAGCAATTAATGATATTTGAGGAACTTTATAACTCCAGTGTGTTCAGTTAAGTAACTCACAAAAAATAATCAGAATACATAACACATAAAGTTATTTTCAGTTCCTCATTTCATTTTTAAGGTCTGCTTTTAAGTCACATTTATTTTCTAAAGCCATCCTTAATTTAATGTGTTAGCTGGCTCTAGCCCTCTGACCCGGAGTTGGATAAGCAGAAGAGAATAGATGGATGGATGTTTTATGACTGAGGTTTTAAACCCATAGAAGTATCCAGATATGAAAGTCCAAATCAGGTTAATCTTTCATCCTTCTAAGTTTACTTTTTTAGGTGATGGTAGATTGGAACAACTATAGTGCTACCTGTAACTAAAATATCAAATGTATGACTTGTTGAAAAGCCAATCAATTTAACAGTTACTTCTCTTTGTATTCAGACATTGTTGTTGGTGATGAGACCCACCACTGTTGTGTCATATGCAAACTTGATGATGTGATTTAAGCTGCACTGTGCAGTACAGTCATGTGTTAGCAGGATGAACAGCAGTGGAATA